CTAGTTTTAACAGCACGTTGAGTAGCATTTTACATTAACAAGTATTTGAAGGCATGAGATAAGTGGGTCCGCATCCATCTGGTTATCCAGAAATTTCCCAGTTGGAAGAATTACACGAGTATCATTTTGCATTTTGCACAGGCATATTGTAAAGTATTGTGAATAACTCTAAATGTTTATCCAATACCTACACTACCCTATCCCTCATTTCTTCACAAATATGATCTATCCCTCATTTCTTCACAAATATGATGTAATGATATTACATGCAGGCGTTGAAGTAAATTACTAAAATATTCGTATTACAATTTATCAATGTAGGAACATAATCATTACAAACTATTGGCTCCTACTTTAATTAGAAAGTAAGCCCCAACAGCTTGTAGTGATAATGTCCCTATAGTAGTACATAGTAATGTGGATCCATAACGAAGTAGTCAGGAAGCGCTATTCCTAAACTACATTCATTTATCCTTTGAGTTGTTATAACTTGATTGGAGGTCATCATTATAAGCTTATAGACCAATTTCATTTATCTTTTTCTACTTTCCAATCTTTGAATTTTATTTTCAGATTGGAAGACTGGAGTCACTCTCGAAAATTCAAAGTCTACCTGTTATCACGTTGCGATCTTACAAGACAAACTACTGGAGACCTCAGGTTTCATTTCCACTCTTTCCTTTCCTTGTATACTTTGATAATTTTGATGATTATAGTTACTTGTTGCATTGATGTGCGATTTCTTCTTACTAAAACTTTGTCTGTATCGAATTCAGACTTCTCAGAAATTGCAGTCGATAACTGTGCAACACATTATTTTTTATTGATAATAAGACAACATCAACGACATTCCTATCCGTTAGCCACTGACTATATCTTGATTTATATTTCTCATATACCGTTCAGAAATATTCATTGCCATTTTCAGCGTGGTTTGACGGAGTCACATCTCGCTACAATTGAAGCAATTTACTACGCAGTGAGAGAGCTTTTAGAAGCAACGTCTAATGAAGAGTACAATGGCCGATTTGACAATATGTTTTTGGTTTTCTGCCTTCCGTTCAAGAATTTTTAAAAAACATTTGCAATGACTGTGACACACTTCCTGATGCTTGCTTTATATTCTGAATATGTACTATATCTTCGGCACTGTATTGAACTAATTATGCATGTGAAATGCGATAAGAA